AGTTAAGTTTTAGACCCATTCTAGGATTAAAGGCTTTTAAAGTGTTTAAGAAAAACTGTACTCCCCCCTTTTAAAGAGTCGTCTGTCCAGTGATCTAATTAAAACGCGGGAGACTGTGTTGTCCAATCTGATTTAAATACAGATCTATATTTCGATTTTTTTTTATATTTTCGATGGCCTACACTACATGAAGATCTGGCCAGTTGTGCTGGAAGGTCGCGTCAGGGGTCGTACGAGCGGATTTTCACCCTATGACGTCAGACATTGATTAATCAAACAGCGTTGACGTTTCTAGTGGTTTATCCACAGTTCTTTGCATGACACGCAAAGAAGTCGCCGTAACAGATGGTTTCATTGGCTTATCGCTCACGCCTGTTATATAACAAGTCTTCCAGATTCTAGTGTAGTACAGACAAGTAAAACGAAATTTTGAACTATAAGAAACGAAACGAAATAGGATCTGTGTTTTAATCAGTTTGTGTGTGGCCTAACCAGAAGGTCAAAGGTTCGGTCCCGATGTTGCGTCATAGCACACTACATGTCCGTCATCATTAATCGTTTGGTGCCTTCAAACTCCATCCTGATTACACTCTTTCACGTGGTCCCGTGTAAACATTGGTGTGCACGTAAAAGAACCCTTGGCAGTTGGATTTCGATATATAAGAATAGGCCGCAGCTCCGCTGCCCGAGCACAATTGTACCTTCATTAGCCAAATCGGAGCAGAAACAATAGTTAAACCCCTTTTCATTTTTTATTCATATTGAACAGCCTTCAGCAATCCTGCCTTGAGTCGTCATCTCAGTCCTAGTGAAAAAGGGAGGTCGGATGGCCGAATGGTTAGCACATGCGCGCGCTGGATCACAAGATCTGCCATTGAGTCAATTGGCGGCGTTTTGATTCCCTGGTTGTACGTAACAAGGAGTAGGGCTGCCTGTTCAACCTCGTGGGTTTTCTCTGGGTCCTCTGATTTCCTCCTACTGCTAAAGACCCCTACGCGCAAGCGAAGTATAAAAATAAAAAACTGAACCATGTGTTAGTCCCGAAACGACCTAGTTTGTGTCGAGTGGACGTTAAACCCCATTTCTCTCTCTCTCTCTCACTCTCTCTCTCTCTCTCTGTCTCCGTAGTGAAATAACTTCCTACAGAATTAGGATATCATATATAAACTTATGGTCGTTTTAATAATAATCTATTATGGATAAATGATGCGATAAATCTAATCTGTTTCACTTGATTTACTCTCCAATATCGTATTGATGTCTTATTCCACGCCTCCATTTAAATGTATCGGCATGAACAGGTGCACGATCTGGCCTTGACACTTAGCACGGGCCACGATTGTTTGACAGTAAATGAAATGGGTTTTAACGCCCTACTTTTCTGCTCCGACGGGGCAGGCGATTGTTTAAAAATATTTAAATTGCGCTGGAATATGTCTAGAACTATTAAAATTACGCTGTAGAAAATAGTTTCTTCGGGGATTGTAAATATTTTAAAAATTGTTGAGAAGGGGACACAAACCACGATATTTCGGAAACATATTATTATGATACAGCTATATTTCAATAATTCGCGAAGGGGCCGTTAGCTGTAGGAGGAAACCGGAGGACCCGGGCAAAATACGAGGCTGGACAACCGACCCGACTCCGTGTTACGTTCAAGCTTACGGGTGGAAACCAAGCCACTTGTCTTAGTGACAAACTTATGATTTAATGTGCAACGGTTAGTTGTTCGTATGGAACGACTGTCTACTCGTTGGTATGGACGGAAAACAACTCATACCGGTTAGAATTCAACAAGGGGTATATATATTGTTTCAATGGCATTTAGTAATTGAACTGGACATACACAGGTCACAATTCTATGGAAAACAATTATTGTTTATTACTGAGCGATGTTTCGACTAGGCTTCTCTAGTCATTATCAAGTACTAACAAAATATAGTCAGAAAGAAGTTCCCGCACAGCAAACAGCATGGTGGATACCCGTCTTCATAAGCCTGGGTGGCGAGGAGACGTAGGACGTTAAACCCCATTTCATTTCAACCTGTCAATGTTGATGAAGCGTTAAACACACTTGATTCAATTCATTCACGGGGTAAATATCATCGGCTTATTGATATCTTATTCCTTTCAACCCAGTGTATCGGCATGCGCAGGTGCTCGAGTTGGCCTTGACACTGACCACGAGCCACATGTGTTTAAATTTCATGTAAAATCAACAAAAGTTATGGTCGAGTGATCAGCATATGTCCACGTTATTATATAAGTGGTCAGTTAACCATGTCCAGGTAGAGGAAATGACCAGAGTCGGACAGGTGTGGAGCGGACGGACAGATGGATAGCAGAAGATTCGACTCCATTACAAAGAAAAAACCGTTGAGATTTTTTAAAATTCAAAATTTCTTTCTTTCCAAGAGATTATCTCGTGTTCAGTGTAAAATCACTAAATCTTGTAATCCCTTCTAGTAATGTCTATCCCTCTTTCATTACCATATGTATTATTAAACAGGCGTTATTTAAGGGATAAATCTGTCTATTGCAAGTCTTCCTTTAGGCCTCCCGTCTTTATTAACCCAGTCGGGGCAGAACAGTAGGACGTTAAACCCCATTTCATTTCATTTCTTTAGGCCTGAAATGTTACATAAACTATTAATTAGACATTTATTAACATCAGTTATTTAAATGACATCTAGATGTCTCCGATATTAAGTAGATTAGAACGGGTCGGCCATTTAATGATTTAATTTTAAAATGGAGAAGCGAGGCTAAGCGTCGAACAACCAGTACGGTGGTTACAATCAATGCACACATCTTGTCAAACCTTCAAAGGCTAATATCTTTGCTCAGAATGAAGTAATTTGACTGAAATTTTCTTTATATTCATTTTGCGTTATCTATTTTTGAACTATTATAGCAAGAACGACCAGCTCTTTATCTAAATCTTACATAATGTATCTTTAATGAATGAAATTTGGTTTAACGTCCTACTTGTCTGCACAAACCGGGATACTGAAGTCGAACATAAGGGAGATGGTGTCAAGGGGTTTTGTGCGGTTTTCCTCCACACCATGTTTTGTCATCTACCGTGTTCTTTGTTGTGATCTAACTAAGAGGCACCATCTTATGGTTCAAACTAAAACATTAATGGATGAAATCAACTGGATCACCTCCATTTGAAATATATATCTGCGTTTCTAAGGATGCTTGTATGTTTCTCTTGGCGATTTTGATGCAGTCTAACTTGTGAACGAGCCATTTCTGAACTATTCTATCCGTGAATATTTTCTCCGTCAGTTTGTGGGGTGGATAGTCGAATAGTTAGAGCGTGTGCGTTGTATCATAAAGTCTGTCACTGGGTCAGCTGGCGTGGTTTCGATTCCACAGGTTGTACGTAAAAAGGAGTATGGTCGCCTGTCCAACCTCGTGGGTTTTCTCCGGGTCCCTGGGTTTCCTACCACTACTAAAAACCCCTACGCGCAAGCGAATTATTAATGTTAATCCCAAAATGATCTAGTTTGTGTTGAGTGAACGTTAAACCCCGCTCTCTCTCTCTGCAGATCATTCACCCCAACATTTTTGTGTAACAATCTTGGCGCCATTTTGACCCTGCCTCTCTCTCTCTCTCTGTTTCGTAACTGGGAAAATTTGTAGAGAAATGAATTCCGGATATATACACACAACCTTGCGGCTAGTGTTAGATATATATATAGGTTTGGCAGACTGAAGCCTAGGGTTTCAAGATGTAGGAGCCCGCGGCCAAGATGTATATATATATATATTTGTCAAGCCTTTTTTATAAATATCCACCATCATCCTCGGTTTTTCTCACCGGTGTTTAACCCACTTTTTTTTATCTTCTTCTAGCCGTGAGGGTTGGTGGGGTGGTGTGTAGGAGTGGTCTCATAAGTGGAATAGCCAAAGGTCGCTTTTCAGCTAAATCCGGTGTGCTTAATTAAGATAAAATGGAAAGAGTACGTGTCAAATAATATTGTCGCTTCTCTTGTATGTTCTCGTCATTGAGTCGACTGGCGTCGAGTCTATTCCCTGGTTGAAAGTTACTAGGAGTAGGATCGCCTGTCTAACCTCGTGGGTTTTCTTCGGGTCCTCCGGTTTCCTACCACTGCTAAAGACCCCTATGAATTATTGAAATAAAATTGAACCATGTGTTAGTCCCGAAATGACCGAATTTGTGACGTTAAACCCCATTTCTCTGTCTCTCTCCCAAGTAGTGATAAAAATCAATAATCAAGTGTCAGAAGAATAGAACCCAATATCATTCATTAATATTCCCAATAAGTGCATTCATATTATTGTCGCTGCTCTGGTAAGATTCTCTTCTAGCAGCGATCAAATTAATAAACCGGTTCAAACGTTTTGAATAACAGAACCCCATATCAATCATTGATAATCCACTGCCTTGTAATTGTCGCGGAGGGGTTGGATGGCTGAATTGTTAGCGTGCTCTATCATAAAGTCTGTCATTGAGTCGACTGGCGTGGTTTCGAATCCCCAGTTGTACGTGACAAGGAGTAGGGTCGCCTGTCCAACCTCTCCGGGTCCTCCTGTTTCCTCCCACTGCTAAAGACCCTTATGCGCAAGCGAATTGTTGAAATAAAATTAAACCATATGTTAGTCACGAAATGACCTAGTTTGTGTCGAGTGGATGCTACACCCCATTTCTCTCTCTGTAATTGCCGCTGCTCGTGCAAGAGTCTCTTTAACTAAGTGCGTTTATGTAATTAATAACAAAGACGTATATTATATATAAAATGTTTGGAAATTTAATAACATAACAATGCAATCATAATAATAATATAATCTTCTCGTATTTGCATAATAACAATATAACAATAGATATTTATATATAAGTCTGATATAGAATTAATTAGTGCACCATTTAATTATAGCCCTGTTTTAAAACAACTTGTGTTTAATGTCTTCTCTTAAATATAAAAATAATTTTATGGCAGTGTCCGGTATTCACGGGTTGTCCCGTATTGTCATTATTCTACCACGGTTGCCATACTTTAAGGCACTGTCCGGTATTCACAGGTTGTCCCGTAATGTCATTCTACCACGGTTGCCATACTTGACGGCAATGTACGGTATTCACAGGTGGTCGGTTTTGTCTATTTTTTTTACCACGGTCGCCATACTTTTTCTTCTTTAAGTGCAGCATGGGACGGAGAACACACGGGGCTAATACCATAAGAATAGTGATGTTTCTCGGAATCCATCTTGAAGTAGGTTTGATCGTATTGGATTGGAGAATGTTGCTTCAAATCGGTAGGTGAAGGCACGAAGGCCGTGAGACCATTGTTCATGGAAGGAACTTGGAGAGAATAGACTGGCACCGAACCGTTATTCTGTGAGGGCACGTACACAGCAACAGAGTTTCCGTTACACATATTACCGGGCACCAACTGAAAGGAACCGGAAAGTCTCGGATGGTTCTCGTTGGGAGAAACCATGCGTGGGGTCAAACTAGGGGAGGTAACTGTGGATTGGTTACTGGATGATGACGTAATTGGTGTGTGACATAATGAGGAAACAGGCGTAGATGAAGGCACTGTGTGTGGTTTATGGTAGGGGGCTGTGGAAGGAATCTGTACTTGGAGAGGTTGCATATGTCTTTGTGGAATGTTTTCATTCTGGGGGACACCATTCACAGTTTGCATACAGTTAGCTAAATGTCCAACAAGACGGCCACGGATGTCTTCAGAAACGCTTGAAGCAGCTCCCATATATCGAATAACTTCATTAGCACATTCGTTAAATCCAGCTCTGTATTTAGTCATGACGTTGGGGTCGCTAGATGCTGCTGATGTCATTTGTTGTCTCTGTAAGGCACGAAGGTGTTTCAATGTCAGCTCTAAGATATCGGCTTTTTCTAATTTAGAGAATTGAGAACTCTGAAAAATACAAAAGGAGAAGAACATAAATATAAGTTTTAGTAGTTTTGGCCAATTAATGACGTTTAGGCGTTCCCGTAAAAGAGCCCTTGCTAGTTTGAATTCTATTAAGAGCAGGCTGTGGTGCCGCTGTCCAGGCAAAATGCCCCTCACTTAGCACAATGTAAAAAGTACATCCATCTTCTTAAGCCCAGTCGGGCCACAACCCAATTTCATTTCATTTAAACAATAGAATATATTTTTTATATAATGGATGGCTATTATCTTATATTAAAAAAAACAATCCGTGTAAAGATTAAAACATAAAAACGTATTTTATAAGATCAAATCACAATATTCAATACTTACATCTTTTTTCATTGCTTGTAAAACCAGAGATTTAAGTTGACCCAAACAGCTGTTTATTCGGGCTCGTCGTCTTTTTTCCATTAAAGGTTTATTATTCTGAAAAGATAAAAAGATGCAAAAAATGAAATAATCTCTCTAAAATCTCGTCATGTAACAACAACGCAATACACTCTATTTAAAGCGATGACGGCGGTAGCGTCACGGTTCAGCAAATGCGGTTAGCTTTTTTTTCAAATTCCCATACAGCCACAGGTGTCTGTCATTTTTATTTTTGGTCATCAAAATTTTTAAAAGAGACACAGGGTTAACGTTAACTTCTTCAAATTAATTATTAAAACTGAAATCGTGTTGACATTTAAATAAAATCGATAGACTATATCACATATCATATAAATCTTGAATCTTTTTTTATAAACTGTTTGTCAAATCTTTTTTTTTTTAAAGAAAAATTAATCAGTATTAGGGATCTAAGAAATTAAAAATGTTTTTACAAAATTATAAAATGTTGACACTCGCTTACCTTTCTAATAGAGGGATCCTTTCGTGTTGGTTGCATAGTATCCGCCATTGTGAATGTATTAGTTTGAAAGTTTAAAACACAAACGTGTGCGCAATAGTTATCCTAGAATGTCAATAACGGAATGATATCGTCCAACGCAAAATCACCCTTTTTATACTCGATGACACATGCCGTTCGTCTGTGTGAAGTCTGTTGAGGCAATGTTCCCACGCTCGCGTACCGATACACTTAACCAATCACCATCGAGGTAGGTTTTAGTCGAGCCGCAGGTCTTGTGCCAGCCCCGCGCTGATTGGCTGATTGCCAGGTGTTCTTGTGGCGCGGAAAAGCTCGAGGATATTGGAATGTCAATCAAAGCATTTGTCGACTGCCGAATAAATAGGTGCACGTGCCAAAAGAATTGTTCTGTGGTTTGGGAGCCGTGTGGGAAAACTCCGCCCCTTGACTAGTCTTCTTAATGGTCGAATTGTTATGTAAACAGGAGAAGCGATAAGAAATACTTGTATACAAAGAGATCTGTAGTTGGCCCGCGCCTCGTCTATCAGTCGTCTTGGCTTGTGGCCGTTGGAATGTGGGTCTCTTTGTGTTGAGTCGTGGGAAAATGCCTATAGTGGAGAGAAAACGGGTTGGCACGAGTCGTGGTTGTATCGGTATTTCGTCACAACTTGTTGAAGCGACAGACAAACATCTGTTTCCGCACGACCTTGTTTTAACGATGTAAGGAAAGGAGTTGAGGCGACTAAATCACTTCTTATTATGCACTCTAAACAAAAGCCTATATTTCATGTCAATTATAAATACTTAAAACTTATAGATGGACTTACTTCAAGCTGCATTACATTCAAACTAGTCCATATGGATACATATTTTACACACAAGTTCAAAGATTTAAGCCCATATTGCTATCGCCATTGGCTTAAAGAGAAAAGTTTTTCCTTTTATCATGCCAGAATGATTAGAAAGTGCATTATAAAGAACAATAGGGTTCTTGTTCCCTTAGATTTATTACATCGATTTCACTTCCTTCCTTCAGGCATTACTTTAGCCAGCTGAGGTACACTACTTTAAAGTGGCGATATATTGACCTGTATCGATTTTAACCGTTAAATTTCAAAATTTGTTTGAAATAGGGTTAAACGTTCAACCGAACTAATAAAGAATGACATGCAGTGTGTTATGAAGGAAAGTTGTCGTGCTCGGAGTTGGTGGTTCCGCCTACAATTAACCGAGGGTTTTTCATCGGGATTTTCAGCCATGCACCCCCCCCCCCCAACCCCCACCCCCACTTCTCCTCCTCCTCTTGACAATGGTCAGTGGTGTAGAACGGTGGGTCTGGAAAGGTCCCGTGTACACATTGGCGTGCACGTAAAAGATTCCTTGGCCGTTGGAATTCAATATAAGAGTAGGCCGTAGCTCTGCTGTCCTGGCAAAATTTCCCTCATAGCACACTGTATGGCGTATGCCCGTCTTCATTAGCCCAGTTTAGGATCAGAACAGTAGGACGTTAAACCCCATTTCATTTCGTTTGAATCCCGTCACGTGATCTGTGAACCAGTAAGTAACTGTATATACTTAGTATGGCAAACTATTTCCTTTTAATAGATAAAAATTCTTTGTCCTATTATCAAAATAATTTATGTGTATCCGTCGTGTTTGTGGACTTTTCTACAGGAGTGCTTCGCTTATTAGCATAAATATGAATTTTCATAGAGCGGTTAATAAAGATAACAGAGGCATTTATCGCTGGCCGTGAAACATGTTTATTTTAGTATATGTATGCTTATGATATATACCTTGTCGGCATAACATCAAATAGAAAGGTATTCAGGTATTAACATAAATAATACAGGTATTTAAATATACGTGAAACACGTGATACACTTGACGGTCTCTTTTATCAAATTTTATATACTCCTTATGATTTTCATAAGGTGCATAAAATGGCGGTCTCCTCAAAGCAAATACCTATTTTATGATGTGATAATGCTATTGTTTATATTATTTAAAGGATAATTTACAACTCGCTGTGGTGTTAATAACTGAATTATAAATGTATTTAATGCCTTTATTACCCTCTTGAATGCGATTAAAATATTCGCATTTTGATAAAAACAAAATTGTTATTAATATGCATGTATGCAGAGGTTGAAGCAGGGACCGTCATTAAATGCACAATAGATCAAAAAACCACTGTGACAAAATGAATATGATATATATTTTCATGGTTGGGTTAATAAGAATTATTATGCACAAAAAAAAACCGAAACAAAAAAAAAAAAACCGATATGCATTATTTATTATAAAAAAGTGAAATATATTCTGTAAAACGCATAGAGAATTTTGTGTAAACGCGAACAAAAAACATTATCTTTATGCATATCTAAATGTTAGAAAAAAATAAAAATATATCAAAACATTTGACACTTATGTTATTGTTTATATATTTGTCGAAAAAATCACTGAAATATTTGTTTTTAGAATAACGGTGCAAATAATCAGACTACTCCAAAAAAAACGACCTTTTACACGTTTATCAGACATTTTTAATTGAACGCAATCAGAAACTCGACGCCTTGGACGATTACAGAAATACAATTCACCGTTATTAAACTATATGTTGATTATTGTTCACTGTTGTTTAATTATCGGCCACAGTTGGTTGTTTTTATAACTATCAGACAAGCGTCTGGACTGATAAAATAATTAAGAGCTTGTTAATTAGTTAATTGCTACCGATCTAGGAATCTGTGATTTCCAAATATTGTTACATAAACGACTTGTGACTTGACGGGGCTCCTGGATAACTCTACTTCAAAGAAACGATGAACCCCGATACACACGTCATACCAACTGTTGGTCATTAAGTTGTAAAAAAATGTTCTTATCAGCCATGACAATCCTGTGATATTTTAATTTTTATAACTCTTTTTATTATCTACTACCGTATTCTAACCAAGATGGTTTAGTTCGATGTATTTAACGCAGGCGAAGAAGAAACTTTATTGCATAAATTAAACTTTAGAACGTCCTATTACTCATTTATTTATCTTTATTTATTTACATAATTGAATTGAACTTTTGTCGTCATGAAACAAGTATATTATCATATTCTCGAAATATCACAAGTTAGAACCATAGTCATATATGAAGCAAATTTAAGTTGTTTTTGTATCATATCTTTAAAAATTGTAATGTAATACAACATGATATTTTAGGATTATATATTGTTTAAACCATAAAACCATTATAAGGTTATGTGTATATATAAACAATAACTAAACATGGAATAACGAAGATAATACACATATAGGTACACAGAAATATAAACTTATAATGGTGTACAAAATCTACTTATAGTAAGTGCAGGGGAACTGCACCACACATGATTTACACAAATGCATTGACTTTGACAAGACATCATACTCAGAAACCACAAAAAAAAAACCCAAACAATTAAAAAAAAGTGAATGGATCCGGGGGCTAGCCGTAAGCGTCTACTGTGCTGTACAGTCCCGGGCCTGTAGTGACACAGATTTCACTCAAATTTGAAAACAAACAGGAATACAGCCCTTAGAAACCATTTTAATATTACTACATTTTTATTCTGTGTCAGTTTTTTGATTTGTTAGGAATCGTTCAATTCATGGAGAGTTGGTTGTTGATATAAGATTAATCTAAAAAGGTATTTTCTTGTAATTGTTGCTTAAGGCTATACGTCTGCATTCACCGTGGGTGATATCGCAGACAAATGTTTCCTTAGAAACTTGCCAGAGAAGTCATATAGTAGTAGGAGGTCTATTCGATTTCGTTGCCGTTTAATAAAAATACTTTGCCTTTTATTTACTGATGTTCCATGGAAGAAAGTCACTGATTTTTAATTGGACATACATTTCTACCTTCTTGTCGTTTATTCAAGCGTTTTTCATAAGTTCATCTCTGCACCCCACAATAATTTGTTATATTTATATATTCTAAGAGTTTAAGTCACGGTTCCTTTAATATTCTTGAATAATGGCCATTTTTTATGTAAACGTTATTTTCGTAGCCAATTAATTTAAAAATAAAATATTTTCAGGTTTGTAAGATTCAGTAATTCTGTAGGTGACCAATTTAGTATTTCTAACTTAATACATAGATTCAGATGCTTTGTTTATAATGATTAATATTGTTACTTCAAGGGACTGATTGTGCAGCCACTATTTTATGAGCATCACCAATAGAAGAAATGGAATAGGGTTTAACGTCCTATTTTCTGCACCGGAAATTTAAATATTATATTGCGATGGCGAGAGAGAGAGAGGTAATTTCGGGACTTTCATATGGTTCAATTTTATTTCAATAATTCGCTTGCGCGTAGGGGTCTTTAGCAGTGGGAGGAAACCGGAGGACCCGGAGAAAACCCACGAGATTGGACAGGCGACTCTACTCCTATTACGTACAGCCGGGGAATCGAAGCCACGCCAGGTGACTCAGTAACAGACCTTATGATACAGTGCGCACGCGCTAACCAATCGGCCATCCAACCCCCCCTCTTTATTGATATGGTGTGTATGAAATGAAATAGGGTTTAACGTCCTACTTTTCTGCACCAGCTATGTAAATATTATAATATATATTAATATTATGGCGGTCGCGTGAATAAAATGGAATGGGTTTATTACGTCCTACTCTTAGTGCAAAAAATATTATGTAAATATCATAATACACGTCATAATGATGGCGGTCACGTGTTATTATTTTCATCATAGGTTAAGTTTTAATAAACAACAAAACTCAATACCGAAATATACATAGACATTTATACCTATATTCCCACGGTATGTAACGTGTCATTTTAAAATCAACATAGCCACAATGACCTTTTTAATTAGACCAATGAAAATATTATTTTTGATTCAGACATCGAGTCTGTTTCGTAAATTAGTCCATTCATTGACAATCTACATTGTTGACAAATCTTCCATCTATATTAAGTTCGCTAATTATATAATTTAAGTGAGTCAAATCAACATTAAGTTTTATTACATTCCTTGCGTCCGTTGTCTATAAACAAAATATTGACTAATACTCAAGTGAACTTTTGTTCAAGCCTGATATGCCTTCTTTCAACACCAATTTGATTTATAGGTAATCCCGCGATTAATTGGATCAA